ATATTCCTGATGAAGAATGCTAGTGTCAATTATATGTGGTACACAGAAAACCTTCCCAAAACTTAAAGGCTTGAAAAAGATTTTTGTTGTTGTTGTTAATCGTTGTGGGAGAGAATGAGCAATATTGGCTGTGCTCAGCTGATTGGTTCTTCTGGTGTGTCTGGGATCCCTTGCATATTTTCAGTTTTCCACCAGTTCAGCAGGGGCTGAATATTTTAAGATGGCCTCACTCACTTCTCTGGTGATTGTTATTGTCTGGTGGTTATCATGTCCAGAGAACTTCAACTAGCCTGGTTCTTCTCTGCTCCATTTGGCCTCTCCTCCTCCTGTAGTCTAGTCTGAACTTCTTCACAGAGTGGTTTCAGATCAGATTCAGGGCAAGCCCAGTGCACAAGCACTTCATAAGCTTGAACTTGCATCATATTTGTTGATGCCACATTGACTGAGGCGAAGTCCATGACCAAGCCCAATGTCAATGAGCGAGGGAATACATGAGGTCATTGAGATGGGGAAGCCTGATTCATTGGGAACCTTGACTGTAACAGTCTAACACAATTTTATTAGGTCTCCAGCAACACAAAATGTATATTAGGTAGGATATATTTAGTAAGCAAAACTGAATAATACAGGAAAACATAAAAAGAAGAAAGAGTGGTGCAACGGATTTAGTTTTTAAAGATCCGAATATTTAATTCCAAAGGTGTAGTCAATTATCTATGGGGCCTTTTGTTTTTGTTTTTTTTTAATGATGGTAAAATGGTCATTGAATTTAAATTCAGAAACATAGGGTTTAATTATTTTTTACTGTTTGTTATTTGTAGACATACTATTTAAAATCACTGAATGTTAGTTTTTTGAAATTGATATAATAACACTATCAATAGAAAGCTGTAGTAAAAATCATATATAAAAAATACGGAAGGCTTTGTAAACAACAAGCAACAAACAAAAATTTTATTTTTGTACATGAATGCATGCATGGATATTAAAATATAATGGGGTATATGTTGCTTATATAATTGAACATTTCTATGGAATTTAAGAGTGTTGAATAAACTTTAATAGTAAATATTAAATTCGAGAATATTTAAAAAGGAAGAATTAATCTGCTTCATTTAAGGACTCCAGCCTTTCAATTCAAAGCTGACACAATATTTACTTACTTTTTAAATTTTTTATGCTGTGAGACGTAAAATCCATATGAATAATTGTCTAAAATATAGACTTAAAGTCTGAAGAAAACCAGTGTAACAACTACCCAGTGTAAGAAATTGAGTGTTGTCATTATCTTCGAAATCCTCATGTTCTCCCCTAAAAATGCCATCCTTCCCCTGTCCTCATAGAGATAACCACTATCTTGACATTTGGTATAGCGATTTCCTTGCTTTCTTTAGGTTTTACCAACCATCTTTATGTATGCATCCCTAAACAACAAGGATTTAATTTTGCCTGTTTTGTGAATTTCATACAATAGAATCACTTTGTGTGCAAATTTTTCCTGTGTTGTGTTTCTTTCACTTAACATTCTGTTTAGGGGGTTCATCCACCACTGCTACTGGTGGCTATAGTCCTGTTAATGTTAATATATCTTAATTGATCAGTACTTTTTTTTGATGTTTAATGCCTGTGTTTTAAGAAATCCTTACATATCTCAGTATCGTGAAAGTATTTTCCTCTGTTTTCTTCTAAAAACTTAATATTTTCCCTTTTCTATTTAAATATTGATTCTATATAAAGTAGATTTGTGTATACGGTGTGAGGAAGAGATGCCATTTCTGCTTTTCTCATATAGATGCACAAATTGCAGAACCATTTATTCAAAAGTTCACCCTTTCTCATGTACTATTTCATTATACCCCAGCCATGTATGAAGTGTCCATATATTTGTTTATCTTTTTCTAGGTTATTTTGTCCTTTACAAGTCATTTTTTAAATATAATTTTTTCAGGGAAGTTAGCTACAAAGCACAGTGTTTATCTCAGTTGTCTCCTATTCTCATTCAAAGTTTGCTTTGGATAATGCTCTGGGGAAGCAAGCTAAGTTACAGTAATATGACTATATTATTTTTAAAAATTATAAGAAAAGCATCATCATTTTCTCCATGATTCACTTGCATATTGGTTAAGCAAAAAATGGTAGAAATTGGGGGGGGGGGAATGATCTTAATTTTGTTTTACCACATCTGAAGATTTATACTTGTGAAACATCTCTTTTATGGGAATAAAAATCACCACTCTATGACCTTAGAATTCATATTCATGGCTCAAGACAACTATGTCTAAGTTCGAGTTTCTAAAAGTGCGTCCGCTGTCCAGAGCTCTTGTAATTTATTAAAAGGATGAGGATTTCCACGGCCTGGAAGAATTACGCATTTGCTGGTGTGCATACTGCCTGAGGGTGTTTCTAGAACATCATGACTACAATCACTTATTCAGGGGCTAAGTAGGCCCCTATTCTAGACTTCAGTGGACAAAACTCCTCCAGGCATAGCCCATTTTCTAGAAGTAGGAGCACTTACTTAAAATGCCTATCCTTAGGTTCTATTACTAACCTTTAGTTAAGAGGGGAAGTTGGCTGAAAACCCTGTTTAATATTTAACTAAATAAGAAGTTAAGTGTTAGAAAGCTTATTCTAGATCCTCCAATTCACTGATCTACTCAGAACATAACCACCTCTTAAGTTATAGTGTAGTTTCAGAACAAAATCTAAAAATACTTACAATACACTTTAATTTGAAGATACTCTGTAAGCCTGATGAGTTGACAAAAATGCACCTTGTCAAATGTAATGGCACTTTTTTTTTCTTTAGGCCCTGACAGTGATCCTAGTTATGCTCAATTGTTATGATCTGGCTGTTCTATATTTAAGGTGAAAAAGAAAATATGTTGCTGGAGAGGAGATAAAATGAAGAAAGACAATTGAAGAAGATTTGACCTAATTATTTTAACAGGCTTAATATGTTTTACATTCATAACTAATGCCTTCAGAAAGTACGTCAATGCTATATTCTGCATGAAGGAGCTTATGGCAATAATAAAAAGCACTGGTAGAATCAGCTGATTACTTTTCAAAATTATGCGGTCTTTTAAAATGATAAATTTAGTGATTAATAGGGAAAAATACTGGTTTTCCATCTGTGTGTCTTAAATATTCACAAAATCTGTATTTTAGGGCAAACATTTGTGAAAGATAAAGTCTCTAGTAATCATTTTTCAAAAACAAATATTAGAAACAAAAATATAGAAAGCTATTCTAATCCTTGGATTTCAGTCTTCTCTAATATCTCAAAAATAAGGTTAACTTCACCAGGAAAAACTCAGATCCATTATATCAGATGGATAGGTGGATAGCAGTCTCTGGAATTTAAGGAAACACTAGTTGGACAAATAAAATATCTCACTGTGTCAAGACCAAAGGAATCCTCATGAATATATTATATCGTTCATTTTGTAGCAACCATCAATGATCATAGCATTGTTAGGCAAGGTTTCAAGGGTGAGCCAAATAATGCCTCTTTCATTGAGCCTAGAACCTCTGAAAACATGTCAAGCCGTGTTTGCAACTCACAACCGATCCACCGATAAGCCAAACCACAACAATCACATACAAGCCAACATCTCAAACCTCCCAATAGAGATGCCACAATCATGGAGACGTACTCTGGCATCAGTTTGTTTGACAGACTGTTAGAAATCCTCTTGCAGAATGCTGAAACATAAGACATTCTTACAATCTTAAATTCAAGGGGCTCCACACAATTTGTGATGGAAAGCTGGCTAAACCAATGAACACATGGAAAAATGAATACAGCTGCAATCATTATAGATTGACTGTTTCCCCTCTGCATTTCAGAAAGAAAATCTTTAATATTTGTCACTGCATTTTTTTAAAAATTAGAATAAGTCTTTTAGCAGCTCTGGCTGCCTGGACTATGGAATTGCTTATTAAAAATAAAACAACAACAACACAGCAATAATTGCGTGATGCTTCATGGAGCTTGCTCAGTACCCTCAATCTCTTCTTTAAACCTGCATTGCTGATGGGATTTATAAATTTCTCACAATGCTGTAGAAAAGACTGCATACAGATCAGAAGCGGAGTGCCCTCTGGTGCACATACAACATAAAATAAAATATTTATAGCACAGGATCTACATAGATACAGACGCAAAAATACAAAACTATGTTTTGCTTCCACATAAATGCTACACCAATCACTAGGAATTGTAAACGTGGATCATGAAGAAGCAAACCAAACTGATAACTTAACATGAAAGATTCTTTATGGCATAGATCAATGCAAGCTAATCCATTCAGGCAACCACTTGTACATTCCCCTATTTAACAGATTCCCTGGGCTTGGGAGGAGCAAGGAGTCTCTTGGGCTTAATATATGACTCCTTTTGTGTGACTTATTTAATTTCAAATATAGAAAAGCAGTCAAAGTTAAAGGCCACAAATCTCAATCTCCTCCTTTTTCTTGGCCTTCACTATTATGTCCTATTTATCTGCTATTTCTTTTTATCCCACTGCTATTTCCTCCAGCTTCTGAATGTACAATTACCTTTTAGGCCAAAAAGGATAAAAGGACTCAATTTCTCAGTGACTAGTAGAAGATATCGTTTCCACTTAAGCTAAAAAAGGTAACATAGCTGGTATAAGGAAGAAAGGAAATGCCATTCAAGAAAATTCATTTAAAAATGTGGGTTATTTAAAATGACAAGTTCAGCCTCAAAGTTGATTGGAATTTACTTTAAAGCAATGTAGCATTCTTAAATTCGGGGGTGATGCACAAGTGGTCACCATTATCTAGTTTTTCTGTGATACGTTACATCTACAAGAAATGCTTTTAAGTAACAAGAAAACACTACTATGGTGAATAGCAATAATAACCCTTCTGATGATAACCCTTTCCCATCTGAAACTTTCCCTTAGAGAAACTCATTTATACACAGTCTTCAAGGAAGATATCTCTGTAATTGCTTTCCCTTTGCTTCATACCTGTATATCTTGTATCTTGTGCTAAATCCCTGCCGGCTTCTGTCCACAAAATCTGTGTATTCCTGTGAGCGATGGAAGGGTCCCTTATCAGAGAGGAGCCAGTCGAAGGGGCTTGTGGCATGCTGATCCGAAACAGCAGCAACCGCTAAAACCCAGCAATGAAGACTCAGGGCTATCCACTCCCATAGAGCCATCAGAGAGAACAATTCAGCACCAGCTCTGCTCCGCCATATCATGCTTCCACTGGGGATTTAGAGCCTTCATTCTCTTAGCTTTCCCTCAACACCTAGACAAAATACACAGGCAATTAGTTAACCCCTAGAAGATTCTTTGCTGGCAAGTAAGGTGCTGAGGTGGCTAGTGCCTTCTTTTAAAAATCTAATATCATTGTTTTAAATTAGATGATAGCCAAAGTGAATAATAATAAGTAAACCAAAACGATTTCTTTTTTTCCAAAGTTCTATATCTTTCATACTTTGTGTCTTTTTGTACTTATTGGAAAATAAGTCACTGAGTCATAAGAGGCCTTATTATGACAGCGTGACACAGTGCATCATGAAAGCCTACGGAAGAACTATCAGAATCTTCAACTAATAATTCTTTTTTTTTTTGCTTAAACGTTTTATAACATTGGACACTTTCAAAACAAATGCTAAATATGTTTAATTATTTCATAAATTGTGCTATAAATTTTAATACTAGATGTATTTTATTATGTACTTTCGTTATTTTGAAAAATGCTTTAAAAATGAGTTAAAGATATACAGGTAGCATTTCCATAATATAGATAAACTTGCATGGACTAAAACTGTGGCTCTAAGAATACGTAAATAAATAAAAAATTGTGTTGATGTGCGTGTGCATGTGTGTCCATCTAGCTATCTCTCTCTGTGTAAATGGATGGATGGATGTGTGTGGGGGGTAGGGGAGTGGAGGTGTGTATTTGCTCAGAAGTTTTTTTTCCCATTATTCTACTAGGGACAAACTTCCCTGATTATTTAATCAGAATCATAATTAAATTATTTCTAGGAGCTTTAAAAGATTTAAATGTGCATATCTGTCTTATTCATGAGATAAATAGGCATACCTACAAAATTCATATACACACACAAACTAGACAATGCAGATTATACATAAACTATGAAACCACATACATTAATTTATTCAAAAAAGCATTCAAAATAAAGTAACAAGAGGTGCAATCCCAGTGTGGTATAGTATAAATGACATTACACAAAGCAACTGATGCAATGTCTATATGCTACACAAAATATTCCACAGACATTTTAACTCAGTTTTATTTTCCACCCTCACCAATCTTTTCCAATATTATTATTTATAGCACAGAGAACTGTGCAAAATATAATTCTAACAAAAAAGTTTTAGTTGTGAGAGTTTTTAGTCAGCAAAATTTCTTTAGAAAGCAATAAAAATGCACAGTATTAAGTAAAATATTTTAATTATAGTAGTTGCAATATTTCTCTAGTGTTTGGATAAGGCAAATAGTTTTAATTTGCTTTCTAGTTATAACTCTATAATTCATAATTTAATCATGAACTATTTATATAATGAGAAATGTACAGCAATAATTTTGCAAATATGAAGTAACTCAAAACAGTGATACAATATGGCTGACATAGGTCATCAGATTCACACAATTAAAAAGATCAATACCCTCATACTACTATGAGTTGCCCCAATCATATCAGTTGTCTCAATCATATGAGCTGTCCCAATCATGTGAGTGTCCCCAATCATATGAGTTGCTGCACTGTAGTGATTAAGAAATGTCCTCTTTTGTAAACTACATAGGAAGTCTTATAAGTGAAGACAGTTTAAAAATAATTTATCATAACAAAGGATCATATCATATAACACGAAGACTTTGGAATAAGAGTTGGAAAATTCTGGATCTCCATCAATTATTTGTGTAAATATAGTGTTGTCAAATGATTCAACTCATAGCTTCAAATTCAGATGAAGAATATAAATATTTTGTAAATATTGTTTTGTTATGTGGGAGCTATACCATTTACTATCATCTCCTGTGACTAATAATTATTTCTAATTTTTCTTAAACACACACTTTTATTCTGCTGATCATATATATTCAAGCTAACAACATTTAATCAGTGTTACAAAAAAATTAAATTTTCTTACATAAAGCACAGAGACTAATGCCTAGCATGTGGTAAGGACATTAGGAGTGCTTCAAAGTATATTTCATACTGGTATGAAATCATGTAATTATATACCATAAAATTATACCAACGCTTGAGCTTAAGCACATGAGTTTGTAAGACACAAAGTGTTAACAAAGTAGGATATGATTGACCTACGTGGCATTTAAGGTCCTATTCTAAAATTCTATAATTTTTGAAGATATAGTTACCCAGAACCACAGTTTTTATTCTTTCCTGTATCAAGTATGTTGAAGATGTTTCGTCATCCTCATATTCCCTAATCTTAACGCAAAGGAAGATGCAAAGATTTTCTTAAATTATGTGTAGACGAACTGCCTAAAAATGTTAATATTAGGTTTTAATTATTTTTGGTTCTTCTACTTCTAATTTGGGTACATGTTTCCACTTCTGTTCAGAAATGAGTTTTTCTTAAAGCATAGTTTGTTAGTACATGTGGATATCAATCTTGTCCAAATTTAACTTAATTTACAGGATTTCTTGAAATAATTATAAAATCTTTTTAAAGAGATGTACAATAGAAAAAGTGTGGTACCCAACAGTTCCACTGAAGCTGTCTTTGAGAAACTGCCTCGAAGAGGTACAAAACAGAGAGAAAAGCACTGTTAGAATACATTAAGACAAGGATGCTGGCTTCCCCAGTTCCTCAGAACAAGTGGCCATTAGACTCAATTTTCACTAACAAAAGGACTTCATTCACCTAGTTTGTCACAAAAGCAGGTAAATGCACAGTTGAATCACCCTTGCATATGAATACTAATTTTTAAATTATTACTGAATGGGCTGAATCGGTTCCTTTATTTGGCTTGAGTTAATAACCATATCTACCCTTGTGTGAGAGCTGACTTTATAGATAGATTGCCAATGACAAAAGTAGTGAATAAAGCCCCTTTGAGGACATTTGGAGGTCACTACTGAAGTAAACAGCTAAACTTACAGGTACTGCTAAGGAAGAGGAATCATGATGAAAGAAAATAAAAATTACTAAACTAATAAGTGAAGTCATCAATTTCACTCCCTGGAATACAGGGAAAGTGAAAAATGACCTTGAATCTACTATTCCTGAATATGTGTCTAAGCGACCAACAGATCAAATGGCAATGGCAATCTACAACACTTTCCAGAACATATAAGGGTGCATTTTATGAAGACTAAAAAGAAATTGAAGAAAGAAAAAAACAATAAAACATTAGAAACAGAGCAAAACGAAAACCATGAGTTCACGTTAAAAAAAGTGGTGTTTAACTAAAAAGTGATATTGATCAAGTTTTTCTTTGCATAAGGTAAAAGGAAGCCATAAGTATTGGAATATCACACTGTTTAAAAAATAGGTATTTAGTACATGGCCCGCTCTTACAACAAACTGTTACTCACAAAATAAAATTCACTGGAAACGTTAGCATCTTATACTTTATTATTTGCAAATACCCAATGGCCTTGAAAATCTGTGCAGAAGAAAGCATGACAAAAGGACGTTACATATACAGTAATATACACTAATGTATATAATATATAATAAATACATAAGATATTATGTAATATAGGTGTGTATATATAAATATATATATATACCTACTCACACATATATTCTAGTATATAATTATTGCTCCTCACTAGCTGTCTGTAATCCTATTCCAGGGTGCTGGTGCATTACTTTTATCACAAATATTGACATATCAAGAATTGGAAATTCATAAATAAAATATTTCCTATAATATTAAAATGAACTCAGTTTATAATATAGATTGCCAATGACAAAAGCAGTGAACAGACTCCCTTTGAGGACATTCAGAGGTCCCTACTGAAGTAAGCAGCTAAACTTAGGGCCATTACTAGTAAAGCTGAAACCACAAAGATAGAAAGACGATTATGTATCACTGACTTAGACATAAGGTCCTTTAAAGCAGTGGGTCATACAGAGGCTCATCTTTTAGACCACATTATCTCATTATCCAATATCTAGTTGGTTGTTCAATACTAATGATTACTATTTGTTAAACAATTGACATTGCATGCTATATAATTTCTTCTACATGTGCATTTGGACTGATTTTTGCTGCTAGCACATCCAAAATATTTTCTCAGGGAATAAAACACACTTGTGATTTTGCATATGCAAAGAAGTTTCATAAATAATTGTTTTAAAGATATGTTGTTATTTTGAAATATGTAAAGCCCACAGAAAAGTTGAGAGACTAGTACAGTAAACATGTATATTCCTCAGCTAGATTCACTGTTTATATTTACCACATATTCTGTTCTTTCTCTAAAGAAAACTGACTGATTTGCCAAAGGTCATATAACCATTCTCCAAGTTCCTTATCTTGACCAACTGCTACATTGCTCTATAAAATAGCTCCTTAACATTCATAATCACTAATACTGAAGCTTGTAAGTGTAAAAAGTTGAGTTTTCAAAATGAATGAAATCTCCAATTCCCAAAGCCATTGTATTTACTTAGAAGCCACATTTTCACAAATAATTTAGTGGAATAGATATTATATAGTATTCTATTAAAGAATAAATATTAGAATCATTTTATTATAAAATACATATACTTATACATAATAGTCCCAGAATCTATTAAAGCATATAGCATATTATATTGTCATATATTACATAATAATGGTAATTATTTTATTATATGTTGGAATGAATGATAGCCCTGAAGTAACTTCATTAAATATAACATTATATAAGCAAATAAATGATAGAAGAGTTAAATATATTTTAACTGTATATTTTCAAATGTTTGTCCACTTAGTTGCTCATTGTTTATATTCCTATTTGATAGAATTATTATTATAGAAAATCAAAATAATAGAGTAAATCTTATTGATCACCTACAATGTGCAAAATACTCTGATATGTTTTGAGATGGGAGTGGACCATAGGTATCACTAAAAATACCATTTCTGTCCTCAGAAACTTACAATCAAATGAAGAAGGCCATATGGAAGGCAGGAAACACACCCTGTGATACTCTCTGTTAGAAAGCAAGACCTCTGTCAACTAAATTCAACATTTTCCAAATTTTTCTCTTTCTGGTTTCCTTATCTCATAAAGGATACTTTATTCACTCAAA